GTCTTTCTCAGGGATGAGAGGAGTTCTCTGTCATTGTCTCATGGAGTCAAACTAGACAGAGGAGAGAGGCTGAGAAGAAAAGCAGTAACAGCTTCATGGGTAACCAAGCCAGGTAACAGGACCCAGTATTCTTTTTATTCTGGCCAGGAGAGAAAAGGACCTTCCTTTACATGAAGAGCAGAGTCTAAGCACCTCATGTCTTCAGCCAGAATCCCACCAAAGTTCCTATAATCTCTAGGAGACTTGGTGTTCCATCCCAAACAAAGGGATAATTCTTACTCACCCTGTCCATGAAAGTTAAAGATGTGTGTAAGCTCTACGTCAGAGCTCACTTTCAACTACAGCAAGAGATGAATGACAGGAAGGAACGCGGCACTCTAAACTGTGAGGTGCTCCCCAATATGCTCTGTCTGTTAAAAAGAAACGTGTGGGGTTGTAGGGGGCAGAGGGGTACTAACAGGAATATCCACCCAGGGTCTACCACCATTTGGAGGTCATGGAAGAGGACAGCAGAGAAGGCCATTCTACAAAGTGATGACTTTTTAAAACTATTTAGTAAGTTGGCATGACAATCATTAAGACTCATGAAAGATAAAACAAGGTGAAATCAAGACCTAACGACACACAACTATGTGATAGTGTTTTATCAGAGCTTATAACCTCACACCCAACAACATAGATCCCAGCAGAGCTCATCTCTGGGTTTATGTAATGTCTGAAATGTCTGAAATGTAACCGACACTTCCGGCTGTGTCAGTTGTTAACTTTGAACTCAGCCTATTTTAAAAGAGCATGCACAATGTGAGCCTCTGGAAGCTGGGACACAAAAGAGGAGCCCTGCCTATTTTTGACTCAGGCACTGCCCTTACCAATCCTGAGAGAGAATGTTGAGAACAACGTGACTTCTATTCTGGAACTGCTATGGGATTTCCCAGGAAAACACTCAATCATAGGCTAGACAAAAACCAAACTTCTTTCTGGATGTTCTAAAGGCAGGAAACTGAATTAGACAGCAAGGAGGACTGTTCTGGATATATATTTCTGTCCCTTGATTCCTATGCATGACACTAGGCACTGCCACCAGGGCTTAACTCAAAAGGCCTTGGCTTTATGCCAGAGGATTAAATAATGTCAAATGTTCTCACACATGCATATTTATGGGGTAGGTCCAAGATGCCTAACACACACCCAGGGTAGACTTAACATTGTTGTGGGTTAACTGAGTCCCGACAATCTTGTAAACATTATACCAGAATTCCGAAGCCTAATCCCAAGAATTAAGCATGGTGTTTGTCCTCCGTTTGGAAAGCAAAACAATAGCACACTTCTACTGGAGACACAGTGAAGCCTGTGAGAGCCTATTTCAGGCAACAACCTCGAAATGCTCTCCATGTCCCAGTACACACCCCTGACATCTCCATTTATGCTGCCATAGTCTCCAGGCAAAATATTAGCTACATTGCAATGCATTTCGGGAAATCAGGTTTTTTATGACTATGAGGACAAACTTGGCTTCCATCAAGCTTTAAATCAGAGCATCTAAACTGGAAAAGAAGAAGTCAAATATCCTTGTTAGTAGATGACGTAACATCATATTTAGAAAAATCTGAAGACTTCCCCAAAAAACTGTTAGAATGGATAAACGAGTTCAGTAAAGTGATTTTTCAAGTTACAAAATTGGCATACAAAAATTAGTAGCATTTCTATACCCCAACAGTGAACAATCTGAAAAATAAATCAAAAAAGCAATTCCATTTACAATAGCTACAAAAATAGTATAATAAAATCTGTAGGAATACATTTAACCAAAGAGGTGAAAGATCTCTATAATAAAAAGTATAAAACATGATTTAAAAAAAAAGTAGAAAAGGACACTCACAAGAATTGAAAGATATCCCATGCTCATGGATTGCAAGAATTAATATTGTTAAAAAGTCCATACTTCTAAAGCAATCTACAGATTCAGTATAATCCCCATTAAGATACCAATGACATTCTTCACAGAAATAGAAAAAAATTCTAATATTCATATGGAACCACAAAAGACCTGAATAGCCAAAGGATCCTAATCAAAAAGAACAAAGCTGGAAGCATCACACTACTTGACTTTAAAATTTACTACAAACTATAGTAACAAAAACAGCATGGTACTAACGTAAAAACAACATATAGATGAATTGAGCAAAATAGAGAATTCAGAAATAAGCCCACACATTTACAGCCAAAACATTTTTTACAAAGGTGCCAAGACTATGCATTAGGGAAAGGACAAATCTCTTCAATAAATGGTGCTGAGAAAACTGGCTATCGATATGCAAAAGAATGAAACTAGACCCGTGTTTCTCACCATATACAAAAAATCAAATCAAAATGGATTAAAAACTTAAATATAAGACCTGAAAGTATAAAATTACTAGAAGAAAACATTGGGGAAACACTTCAAGACATTAGCCAGGACAAAATTTTTTTGCGTCTAAGACCTTGAAAGCACAGGCAACCAAAGCAAAAATAAACAAATGAGATTATATCAAGCTAAGAAGTTTCTGGCCTGGTTCAGTGGCTCACTTCTGCAATTCCAGCACTTTGGAAGGCTGAGGCAAGAGGATTACCTGAGGCCAGGAGTTCAAGACCAGCCTAGGCAACATAGTGAAACTCCCATCTCTACAAAAAATAGAAAAAGTTAGCTGGGCGTGGTGGCATGTGCCTATAGTCCTAGTTACTCGGGGGGCTAAGGTGAGAGAACAGCTTGAGCTGGGGAAGTTGAGGCTGCAGAGAGCCATGATCATACCACTGCACTCTAACCTGGGCGACAGAGCAAGGCCCTGTCTAAAAAAATAAAATTAAAAAGTAAGTAAATTTTTAAAAAGCTCCTGCACAGCAAAGGAAACAATCAACAGAGTAAAGAGATAGCCTAGAATATATAAAAAATTTATATACACCAGAATATATAAGGAATGCAAACAACACCATAGTAAAAAACAAATAATTCTATTAAAATATGTGGTATATATACACAATGGAATGTTTGCTGAATAGACATTTTTCAAAATAAGACAGAAATGACTGACGGGCATATCAAAAACTGTTCAGCCAGAATGGTGGTGCACACACTCCTATAGTCCTACCCACTCAGGAGACGGAGGAAGGAAAATCACTTGAGCCCAGGAGTTCAAGATTACAAGTGAGCTGTGACTGCGCCACTCCACTCCAGCCTGGGCAACAGAGTGAGACCCTCTCTCAAAAAGAAAAAATGCTCAATATCACTAAATAAGGGAAATGCAAATCAAAACCATAATGAGATATTGTCTCACCCCAATTAACACAGCTATTATCAAAAAGACAAAAAATAAGAAAAGCTAGTAAGGATGCGGAGAACGAGGAATGCTAGCACACTGTTGGTGGGAATGTAAATCAGTACATCCATTATGGAAAACAGTATGGAGGTTCCTCAAAAAACCAAAAATAAACCTACCATATGATCCAGCAATCCCACTGCTGGGGACATAGCCAAAAGAAAGGAAGTTAGTATATCAAAGAGATAGCTGCATGCCCATGTTTATTGTAGCACTATTCACAATAGCTAAGATACGGCATCAACCTAAGTGTCTATGACATATGAACGGATAAAGAAAATGTGGTATGTATACACAACGAAATGATACTCAGCTATAAAAAAGAATGAAATCTTGTCATTTGCAGCAACATGGATGGAACTGAAGGTTATGTGTTAAAATAATCCAGGCACAGAAAGGGAAGTGTCACATGTTCTTACATGTTACATGTGGGAAGTTAAAAAGTGGAGGGAGAGAGCAAAATGATGATGACCTGAGGCTGGGAAGGGCGGGGACGAGGGAGGAATGAAGAGAGGTTGATTAAAGGGTATGAAAATGCAGTTAGATAGAAGAAACCAATTCTAGTGTCAATAGCACAGTAGGGTTACTGTAGTTAATAATAATTTATTACATATTTCAAAATAGCTAGGAGAGAAGATTTGGAATGTTCCCAACACAAAGAAAAGGTAAGTGTTTGAAGTGATAGATATTCTGATTACTTGATTTTATCATTACACAGCACATATATGTACCAAATATCACATGTACCCTATAAATAGGTACAATTATGTCTCAGTTCAAAAAACACACACACACGCCTGTAATCCCAGCACTTTGGGAGGCCAAGGCAGGTGGATCACGAGGTCAAGAGATCGAGACCATCCTGGTCAACATGGTGAAACCCCGTCTCTACTAAAAATACAAAAAATTAGCTGGGCACAGTGGCGCATGCCTGTAGTCCCAGCTACTCAGGAGGCTGAGGCAGGAGAATTGCCTGAACCCAGGAGGCAGAGGTAGCGGTGAGCCGAGATCGTGCCATTGCACTCCAGCCTGGGTAACAAGAGTGAAACTCCGTCTCAAAAAAAAAAAAAAAAAAAAAAAAAAAAAAAAAAAAACAAAAACATATGCACAAATATATATGAAATAAAGCAGGTTCTACCACTGTTCTTGGATTGGCTAAATTGTTGTAACTCTGCAGATATTACACATCTAAAAAAATAAGTTATTTTAACATGAAAGAAACTCTTAAACATTAAACAACATTATGCCTCTTCTAAGTTGAAAAAGTCCATGACTAAGCCACAGTAGACTATTCTTTCGTATTCTAAGACTTATGGTACCAGAGTCACAGTACAACTGTTTCAGGTTTTGAGGGCATGTTTGGTGGATAACTTTCTGTTCCAGATGGTAAGAAAGAAAACGACCTTTCTACTTTCAATAATCCTCTTCTATGAAGCTTCCTTCAATGGACCATGATCTGTCATCTATAAAAATGCTTCAAAACTAAGAAATATGTTTATCACCCTCACTAATGAGGAGGAATATAGGGTGAATTTAAAAATGGGGTTTTTTTTCCTTCATGAATAGCAGTGGTACAGAACTGTTTCAAGTTTCAAGTAAATACAATTTAAAATGATAAGATATATTAGGATTCCAGTCATAGTCACCCAACAAAAAAGCAAGTTTCCTAAGAATTGTAAGAACAGGACTGTATAAAGATGGGGATGGAAAGCATCCACTTACTCTACTTCCTCCAGAACCCCCATTAAAATGATGAAGAGGAATACAAATCCACTGGCACATAAAGAATTGGAGAGAAAACAAGAAGAGACATTTGGAAGATAAAAAGCAGATGGATGAGTGGGAACTGATTTGGCTCCATTGGTAAGCTGGCTTCAGGGAAAGGTGGCACCAGGTGTCCATGAATGTGAGGATCAAGATGAGGATACAGAAAAACTGATTAAAAGACTTTAAAGGAGCAATTAGATCCTCAGGTTGCCTCTCCCCTCAACTGGAAGATGGCTTCTCATACACCCAACCTTGGAAAGTCTAAAGCCAAAAAACTGTGGACACCAGGGAAACTTACAGAACAAGAGCACCAACTAAAACAGGGGCTGAATGACTATGTGCATACTGAACGCTGATAGAGCCCCCACTGCCATCCCGACTCTATCCTTCTTCCTCATCTCAGCTGATAGAGCCCCCACTGCCATCCCGACTCTATCCTTCTTCCTCATCTCAGCTGATAGAGCCCCCACTGCCATCCCGACTCTATCCTTCTTCCTCATCTCAGCTGATAGAGCCCCCACTGCCATCCCGACTCTATCCTTCTTCCTCATCTCAGCTGATAGAGCCCCCACTGCCATCCCGACTCTATCCTTCTTCCTCATCTCAGCTTCCAGAACATTGGTTTCCAGGACTCATCCTCTTGGTAAGGAATTAGAAGAGACTTTTTTTAAAAGGCTTCTGAGCAGCTCCAGAGGAAAAATCATTAAGATACTGACACCAGGAGCCAGCCAGATCACTGTCTACTGAAGCTCATAGTAAAAAAATTAAAATTAAATTAAAAATAAAGCTTGTGGTAAAGGCAACAGTGGTTAATAAGCATTCCATTTGCAATCCCCCATTTCCCAACCCACTTTCAGTTAGGTGGAGCCTACCTGTAACTTGATATGACCAACTGACAGTAGGCAGAAGTGGCATGTACTGAAACACGTACGAACCAGCATACAGTTGTCTGGCCGTCCATTCCCCTGCCGAGGTACCCAAAGAGACTGCATGGTCCAGATGAAGCAGCTACATAATGACAGAATCTCCATGAACCTGGGCCCCTGAGTGTGAAGGAGAGTTCTACAGAAAACATCATAGGGTAGGCTGCGTGAGAAACTAACCTTCATTTTGTTAAACCACTGAGAACTGGTTGTTGTGGTTGTTGTTTTTCAAAACATAAGTCTAGTCTCTCCTAGCTAATACAAAACCACAAACACACAGAATTTTTAATCACCATTTTGGTGTATAGTGTTAAATAAGTACTCAAGGATCACCAGAGTTCTTAAAAAAAAAAGCCTCTAATATAAAAAATAGAGGCTAGAACAAATCAAAGATGGAAGCTTGGAAGAACAAAGATTAATCAAGAGAAGATTACACATTGAGATTAAACATCTCAGTGAAGTAAAAGAAGGATTTCACTCAAGAGACATGACCAAAAATGCTTGAAAGAAGAAAACTGCATTCACAGAACAAAACAGAGCTCTTGGAATTAAAAACATAATAGAAAAAAATAAAATTCCATAGAAACACTTGAAAAAATTGAGGGATTCTCCCAGAAAATAGGGCAAAAAGACCAAGAACAATATAGGAGGTCTGTCATCCAAATAATTGTAGTTTCAAAAGAAGGTGGAAAAAACTAAAGGGGAAAAATAGTTATCAAATAACTGAAAAAAATTATCCAGAACACAAATAAATTAGATTTTAATTTTTAAAAAATATCTCACCAAGTGTCTAGCAAAATGGATAAAAATAGACCAATATACCTTGTATCTGGGAATATGGCAGGAGAATTTTTCTGAAGACGACTAAAAATGCTAGATAAAATATTTAAAACATCTTAAAAATACTAATGGGAGTGTAAATGAATGTCCCTTCCAAAATGTAAATGAAAGCAGAAATCTAGGGAGGTGAATTGAGCACCGACATCAGTTTTGACCAAAGGCATTGCCAAACTGAGTGAAATTAAGTTTTCCTTTTGTGAGATAACATTATGTCACCAGGATAAGAGAGGTCTACAAAGAAACCCATTCCATAAAGTTTGCATTTATACCCAAGGGTCTGCAAGGACAGGTGCTCTGGCATTCAACAAAGCAGGGGATAAAAATCTAGAAGTCCTCTTGGAGCAGTCATGACCAAAAGCTGGCATTTATGTAAATTTTCAACCCAGATGTGCATCACCCACAGGGTCCAAAATAAACTTGAAGCTATAAATGTAGCTGAAAGTGATCCTGGGCTGGTCAGGCCCCCCACAAAAGCCAGAGCAAGCATTCTCCAGAGGAAGACACTTTCATACTAGTCCATAAAAGATTTCTCACAAATAAGTTTTCCAGAAAATGAGCAGCACAATGTCAAAAATAACCGAGCAGTGCTCACCTTGTCAGCATATGCACCAAAATGAAACAATACAGAAAAAAACAGCATGTTCCTTGTACTAATATGTTAAACAAACAGTTACTCTGTCAGCCATCAGTTCTCCTCCAAGGTATTTAATCAAGAGTAATGAAAACATATGTTCTCACAACAACTTGTACATGAACATTCATAGCAGCGTTACTCCTAATAACCCCAAACTGGAAACGATCCACATCATTATCAACAGGAGGATGAATAATTAAATTGTGAAACAGTAATACAATATTACTCAGCAATGAAAAGGAACAAACTATTCATAGGCAAATGAATTTAGATTTTCTTCCACCCTCCAGATCTTTGCTGCCTTCAAAACTGAGTGTGAGAGAGTAGAAAAGGAAAGGAAGACTCCGTTTTTCTCTCTCCTAGCTCCATTTTCTCCTCTTATCCCTCTAGCCATGGTAGATGTCACCTCTAACTGGCCACTTAACAATTCTAGCTGCTGGCTTCTGGGAACTCAGAAGTGACCCTTCAGAGATGTTCTCTGTTAGGGTCTCATTATCTTTCTATTTGCACTTCTTGGGCAAAGTCCCTTTCGAGGCACCTCCAGGCCAAGTCTCCTCCTCACAGCCATTTGACTCAGAGGAAATTCACAACATTGCCTCCCAGCAGCCCTGGTTCTCCCAGCCCTGGTGTCTCAGCCTGAAAAACTGTCTGTAGATCTGAGATGTGTCAGATCCCAGGCTGCTGTGCCCTCAATTCCAAGGATGCCTCTCCAGCTTTCCAGGTCACCCTTGCAATGGCTTCTCTCACTTCTTTTGCTTCCCCTCCCCTGCAGTGCATGGATTAGGGCTATGTTTTAGTAGCAGATCATATCACATACTAGCAACTCTCTCCCCCAATATCCTCTCTTTCCAGTCACCAATTTCGATGGTTTTACACCAAGATGGGTGACAGCCTAAGGGTCAGGGCACTGGTTTTAGGTCATCCCCTTTGCAGGTCCTGCATAGATGCTTAGCAAGCTTCGAAATGTGAAGGTACACGCCTGCAGTGATTTAGATCTTGGCCTTGGTCATCTTGCCTAAAGAGAAGCAGAGTCTCGTTTCAAAATGCTGTTACAGTGACAGTTTAGAAAGGTCAGACAATCTCAGAAGTCATATTTCTTAGAGCTCAATCTCTAAGGTACCAGAAAATAGATATTTGGTAACTTAAGAGCCATGATTATAGCTGATTAAAACTTAAGAGAACTGCAAGAAATGTGGGCCACATCTTGGCAATCTGAAACTAGATAAATTCCATTATCTGCCACTGCCCTCTGGTTTACAACCACATTAAAATCAGAATTCCAGATTAGCAGCATCTGTGTTTTCATGACATTGAATGGTCTGTCACTAGAACTCTTTCCTAGCCAGGAAGTAAAACTTCACAGCAATGGACAGATGGAGTTAGGAGTTTTTTTACTCCTATATAATACTAGAGGCTCTCTAGTGTTAGAGTGATGTGAAAGCTGAAATGCCCTTCTTCAGTCATTAAGAGGTTTTTAAATAGTGCCCAGGCTTCTTAAGGTCAATTGCTGAACTTACTGAATCATAGTTTGAAAAATAGTGTTGCTGGAAGGGACCCTGGATGCATTCTTGTCTGAATTGGATAAGTGGGGAGCACATACATGCTCAGACCCCATATTCATGGCAAGCATTAATTCATCTCACCACCTGCCTCTGAGCCTAGCCTCAGCAGTACCCACCATGGCAAGATGCCATGAGGGATAAAATCTATTTGCCATCACCAGTTCTACCTAGTTCCTTTATTTGATTGGTGAAGAACATGATTATATCTTGTTCCTGTCATATCATAGCAGAGTGCTCGAGGTCATGCTGCTGGTTAGTAACAAAGTGCTCTTTCAACCACCCCACCCTGAATTAATGGGAAAAGGAGTCTCTTACTTACCTTTTGCCCATCCCTCCCATCAAGTCTTTTCAAAAACTGAAGCTTTGTTCTAGTTGTAAATGTGACCAGATGCCATTTTACCAGAGTCTCTCCTGACCCACAGTGTTCCTGCTCTTCCATCCTGGGATCTTCCCCAAGAAATATCAAATCAAGTTCAAATGCCTTTGCATGGACTACTTAACTCTCGGTTTCTAGAGCCTCCAGAACCATAGCAAAAAGTCAAATATTATGCTTCCAAGTTAAAAGGCTGAACATATTCTTGGAAAAGTGAAAATGGAATACTTACAAATACCATATCATAGAGCACTAAACTTCTGGAGCTGGTTACATTTAAGGTCTTGAGTCTAGAAGGAACCAGATAGTTAACCAAAAAACTATCCATTCAGATGCTCAGCATCTTTCTGAATTTTTTTTTCTGACAAATTTGCCTACCTCTGTCCAAAATGGAAAGTGCTTGTGGGTTGGAGGTGACCGGGAATGCAGATGTAAAGAAACAGCACATTCTATTCCTGGATTGCATATTACTATTCCATATGGGGGGGCGAGCCAAAACATATGGCATTCCATCTGCAGGATGGGTCTGGCTGGGTCCCATGAATGGCTTCTAATGCAAGTAGATTCAGCCTGATTTGGTCTGCCTCCAAAGGAGAAGAAAAGCCAGTGATTCAAATATTGTGTAAAACCATTGAAATTAATGGCACAAAACAAGACTCATTTGTATTCTGCCTAATTTAAAAGATGTCTGCTTGGTGCTAACTAATGAATTAGTTACAGGGGTGTTTGGACTGAGTATTTGACAGTCTCCTTGAAGGAACAAAATGCCTTTTTTCCTTCTTTCAAGCCACCCTCTGTTAAGTTATTTTGGGGCGCTCCCCCCAGGAAATCCACTAAACATTTCGACTTCTTTAACAAGCCAGACTTCAAGGGGTTCATAACACCAGACACAGCCTATCCTGCTTTGACACCTTAAGTCTAGGATGGGAAGGAGAAATCGAGATTCTTTTTTTAAAACTGCTTCATGTAGTTACCTTGTGAGTGGAAGACCAGTTCATGCCCTTCCAGTAAATCTCCAAGGGACATTCGACATCAGCAGACTCAGTAGGCAGGAGACCTGGCCCTTTGCAAATGCAGGGAGAACTAGAGAATGTGGGGTTCATCCTGGAATGACTGCACTATGCCTCCATGCCACATGCTGCACTGGAATATCACAGAGAGCGCACATGCAGCCCCAGCGACTGCTCAGTCCTGAACTATATCCTACCCACTCCCGAGCTCCTGGCGATGTGGATGCTGATGGAAATGTTGCAAAGTGGTAAGCGCCTACTCCGTGCCATGCATCACACTACACGTGACGCATCAGCTGTCTGAGTTCATCCTTAAAGTCCCTTCATGAAGTTGGTACTGTCCTCCCTACTTCAAAGAAGAAGAAGCTGGAGATCAAAGATTAAGCTGTCAAGGTCATGGAGCCAGCAAGTGGCAGCCCAGGATGTAAACGCCAGTGTTCCTGCCCCACAGATCACGTGGAGATTAAAGAGGACAAGGTGGCATGGCTGTCCCTCTGAACGCCCATCTGAGCTGTGGCATCTCTGGATAAGATGGCCCTGCCTGCTGTTTGAAGTGCTAGTGAGCCCAAGTTGGGGCTGCCAGGAAAAGCAGCTACTCCCCAGGCATGACCCTTATTCAAAGAAGATGGCAAGATCCTGCCTGGACCTTGATGCCATCGTTCCCACTGGGATGGGACCGAGCTTAAAATGACGATCTTCACGCTGGTTTTCTTAACATCTTATTACATAACTCAGATCAACACAGCAGTGATTAAGGCCAAAATGTATCCAAAATCTCATAGTGCCCATGTTCCCATATGGAGTGAAGGCTTTGTGCTTCTTACCATCCATTCTTGGTTGTCTTAGTTACATGGTTTTCAAAACTATTTTGGCAACCTATTTTATTTTTCCCCAAATGAAATTAGCAAATAGAATTCCTACATTTGAAGAGAGAAGGTGGGGTGTGGGGTAGGGTCATGGCTCTTCTTCTCCCCATAAGGACAAGCCCTGAATTGCCTAAGAAATTTAAGGGATCCCAGCATCATTGTGGGAAATCCACCGTTTTAGAGTTTTCATCTTCCATCTGTAAATGTCCTGGTGGACTCAGAGTCATGGATGCGTATGTCTTGCTTGGAAGCAGAACTGTGGAAAGCTACCAGGCTTATTGGTAACAAGAGCCATTTTTATAATTGCACACATTAAGCAAACTATACCAACCCAGATAATCACATAAGGTGGAGATCAACGCAACCCAAGCCGGAATCATTTCCAAGAGAAGGAATGAGTGGAACCCTTGAGTCAGAAGTGGACTTACTTTCGTAGCAGGCCACAAGGGATGGGCACAGGGACTGTGACTTGTTTATGGCTTTATTCGTAGAGGTCACGGAAGCCGTCACACTTGTCTCTTTTGTGCTTTCTGCTTCCTAGATGGGGATAAAACACATCAGGAAATCAAAAGAAGATGCTATTTCGTTTTCTAGTATTTATTTGAAGTAAAACAATAACGTGGACTTCCTGAAAAGGTGAATCAGGGGCACTCTTGGAGGCTCTTTTTGCTTGTTTTTCTTTGGTTTCTTCTCCGCCTTCATTTCGACACTCAGTGTGAGGCTTAGCACAATTTCCTTCTGGTTCCCTGATCTCAGAGCACCCGAATCAGAGCTCTTCACTGAGGAGCTATTTGTCAGCGGTTGGCCCAGCAAGTGCCAACGGGGGCAAGTTCCAGGGTGCATAAGGAGCTATGTGAAGTGAAGGATCCCCTGGCTGGGCTGAGCGTGGTCCCAGGGAAAGCGGCCTGCTTGCCCAGGCTGGGAGTCAGCTCTTGCTTATAAAAAACATTAGCCGCAGAACCCATGTTGTGGAAAATTTACTCTATGCTCTGACATTGGCCCCTGCCTCCTCACTCCCTTCTTTGAGACAAGAAGTCAAACAACGTCCTCCTGACACATGATTCCTCCCTGTCCCCACTCTGACCCTGCCCCATACAAGCCTGTATTCACCAGCCCTCACCGCAATATACAAACATCCAGATTCAGGACTGGCGCCCCCCTCTTTCCCATATCCATATGCAAACAAACCTAGCATTCTCCCACCTGAGAAAGGGCCTTTAAATCTTGCAACATGTGTGGCTGACGCGAATCATAGTCCCCAATTCAGTGCGTGGGTAAGAAGACTTGCCTCATCTTTCCATAACTCAAGTTTCTTTCTATTTGGGGCCATCTCCACTGGGCTAGAGAAAGGTCCACCTCAGTCAGTGCAGGATTCCCTCACCTCCCAGAGACTGCACCTAAACCCTGAGACTTAGGGGGTGCCAGTGCAGGGATGCCATCTGGTCCTTGATAGCAGCTGTCAATGTAGACATTTACCAACATCCCCTTCATTCCTTTCCTCTACAGCCTGCAGGCTGCTCTCCCCAGCTCCTGTGCCTTGATGGAAGGGTCTTAACTCTGCTATTCCGGGGTTTGGGGTGGGGCTGGTTGTTGTCTCCTCCACCTTCCAGGTTCCACTCTTGATGCTCGCCTGGGATTCTTGCCCTGTCCTGAAATGCAGTCACCAGTGGGACCCCTCGGGCAGAGGCTCAGGCGGGCTTCTGCACTCACTGATTTTGTTTAGTTGGAGGTGATTCGTTGCTACTGTCAGATGCAGGATCATCATGGAGGTGTACGGAAGGCAAAGGCAGGAATTATCAGGAGACAAAAAGAGTTAACGCCTTTTAAAAACATGACGCCAGTCTCCCAGTGGCCACCCAGCAGAAGCGCGAGGTGGTGTGGCCTGTTGTACACCCTCTTTGAAAGTTGAGCCAAGCTTGCAAGGGTTGGAGACAGGGTAGCTCACAGTCGTGATGAGGACTGCACAGCCTCCTTCCTCAGAAAGCAGCAGGTAAGCTGGAGGAAGAGCAGGTACTTTTGGAAAGGATACCCTCTCCATGGAGGCAGGTCTGGCCTTCCCCAGAGCTCCCAGCCACTTCTGTGCTGAGCTCCTAAGGAGCTTGCCATTCTTACAGCTGCCAGCTCTTTTCACCATGTGCTCAGGAGGGGAGTCGCAAGAATTCTGGGGTCCTTCCAGAGACTCAGAGAGTTGAGTTTGCAGCTACTGATCCTATGAAGACTTTTAAAATATTTTTTCAGTCATCACTCCTCCAGTGTGAGCTTTTCAAAACCATACAGGAGCACCATCTTCCCAGGACCCTGCCCACTAGGAGAGAGAGTGGGGAAGAAGTAGGAGTCATCGAGAGGTGAGTTTTGGATTCGGGAGTTCTGGGTTCAAATTCCAGCCATGATTCAACCCCGCAGTGCGATCCAGGCCTCACAGAAGCTCCCACTGATCTATTTGCAAACTCACAGGTGCCCATAAGATCTGGATGGAAACATTTGTGTGGAATCCCTAGTGCAGCGCCTGGCACACAGTGACAGAGAGTGACATGGAGAATTCAGTCTGTTCCATCACGAGGACCAGCTTCAACCTCAACCCAGTTCCTGAGCCCTCTTTCCAGGCAGGCAAGCCTAGGGGAGGGAGAGGCACGGGCTTCCACTACCCTGTCCCCAAGGAGGCCTGTCATTCTGGCCTGACCCAGCGGCGCTGATTTTATCCCAGGTTTGTGGAGTGAAGGGAGGGGGATGGGAAGTGTAGTGACCACCTGGGGCTGACTCTGGGACCCTCTCTTTCTCCCCACTCCACTTAGCCTGTCAGTGGGCTTCTTGGCACGTGTTCTGGGTTCACCCAGATAAGCATCAGAGATCGATGCCATTCCTGTGCCACCCACTCCTCACTGAGCAATCTTACCGCCCTTTGCCAAATCACTGTCCACTAATGCCTCAGTGTCACCTTAGTCCCAGTCTATGGCTAGGGACAGCTACAATACAGGCATCTCTGGTACCAGACCTGGTATTTTTGATGCTCTGATACATGAAGCCAAAGCCCAGGGCATTGATTTCCAGAGACTCTGGGGGAGACGCTTGGTTGTCCTTCGGGACAGGCACCCTCCCTTGTGGGGGGAGAGGCCACTCTGGTGGCTTTCTTACAGGCACAGACCAAACGCAGGTGTCCTGAGGCAGGCATGCTGGGCCTGATGAGCAACTGGATGCACATGGTGTGTTGGGATATGGACCCGGGGCATAATCAAGGCAAATGCAATCATCCCTGACCACAGGGTCAGGGACATCTCTCCACAAATAATTGAGGCTAGCTGATTTTTGCTAGCTCCGACCTAGCCCAGACACAGGGGTTTGGGGGCTCTAGAATAGGAGTGAGGTGTGTGGGAGTGGGGGTGAGAGCATGAGAACACAAAACGGACTCAGTTGTGGAGGGCGAGGCCTCATAACTTGGACTCAGGCAAAAAACTGCTCTGAGGATGACAGCAGGTGACAAGCCCTGTGGAACGTAACAGAGACGGGCTCTGATGGAGAGGAAACCCCAGGGCCAGCTCATTTTCTTTTATGCAAATAGGTTCTTCAAACCTTGGTGATGTTTTGTAAACAGATCAATGTTTGTGTTGGTCCTTGAGAAAATCGGGGGAATGATACAACTTTACAGCTAGGTAGGAGGAGTAGGTCGGAGGGCTTCCTAGCACTGCAGGACGATGAGAGCCAACAGTAATATACTAGATAGGTAGGTTCAAATAACTAGGAGGATCTCGAATGTTTCCAACACAGACAAATGGTCAATTTTTGAGATGACAGATACGCTGATGACCCTGATCTGATCACTGTACATTTTATGTACCGAAATATCGTTATTTCAATACATGGGGTACTACAACTGCACCCTATGATTATGTAGTTACTATTTTTCAATTAAAAATAACATGAAATTGAGTGGGAAAGGAAAGGAGAAAGAGAGAGAGAGAAAGAAAGGAAGAAAAGAAAGAGAAGAAAGAAGAAAAGAAAAGGAGGGGGAGGAAGGGAGGGAAAGAGAAGAAAGGAAAGAAAAGAAAAGGGAAGGACCAGTGCTGATCTCTGGGGTCAGGACAGGCTGCTGAATGAGATGGACTCCCCCTCAACTGAAGGCCCCTTTGGTGCTTGTGGGTAGATTTTCCAGATACGTGTGGAAGCTGGACACTGACTTGTCAAAGAACTGTTCGAGGCAGCGGTCATTCATTCCCTCATAGAGAAGAAAGAAGAATGCATGTAACTCCATTGATCCACCATGCCCCTTTGAGCACCTACCATGTACCAGGCCCTGCACAAGGGGCTCCAAATACAGGGTGAGGAAAACGGGCCTGGATCTTGCCTGGATGAAGCTTCTAATCAAGTGGAAATGGGGAACAATAACTTAATCCTTCTACAAGCAGTGTATCATGGCTCTGTGGAGTGCAGCCGAAGAGAAGGACAGAGGGTTAGGAGACACCATCACGAGTGAGTGAAAAGGCAATTTTTATTATTTTATTATATTTTTAACAGCAGATTATTATATTAGTTGAACATCAAATTTTATTGGCATTCTGTCACGACAGCAGCTGACATCTAGGAAACATGAAGTCCCAGACACTGTTTGGTTTTGCACACTGCTGAGGCATGCTTGCAGAACAGACTTCTGGCTGTTGCCCTCAAATAAGGCATGGGTCCCAGAGTGGCCCAGAACAGAGGGCTGAGCAGAAGCAGGGAGGAATTGTAGGTAGGAATTACAGGCAGAATTGAATCCCATCAAAACTCTAATGTAACCCTAACTCCTACCTGCCGGTACATCAGAATAGAACTGTATTTGGAGACTGAGTCTTTACAGAGATGACTGAGGTAACAGTGAAGCCATCAGAGTGGCCCCGTATCCAATGTGACTGGTGACCTTGTAACAAAGCTTAGGACATGGGCATGCCCGGGAAAGCCCACATGGGACACAGGAAGGTGGACTCCTACAAGCCAAAAAGAGAGGGGCCCCAGAAGGAACCAACCCCGCTGATACCCTGATCCCAGACTTGCAGCCTCCAGAATTTTGTGACAATACATTTCCGTTGTTACGGCTCTCAGACTGCGATACGTTATGAAAGCAGCCCTAGCAGACAAACACAGTGGGACCACTTTCCAGAAGGAGGTATGGCCCCCACCCAGCAGAACCCCTCCTCTGCCTGCCCTGCACACCCCACTTCTCTGTGGGCTGGCCAGAGGTTCAGGCCTCCCCTCCGCCCAGAGCAGATGTGGGGCTCTGCCTCTAGAGGCCAAGGCCGCTGACGTGCCCCAGAACTGGCCGCAGCCCCTGCCCTTTCCCAGAGTGGCTTTATCCTCCCTGACACCCAGTCATCCCTTTCACCAGGCTGACCATCACCAAAGGGCCGAAAGCCGGGTCCACCCTCCACAAACTCTGCAAGTGCCCATAGCGCCTGCTTTCTTTTAACCATGGGGTGAATACAAAATAACCTTCTGAAAGCCACCAGCAGCAATTGTACATTCCAGCTGCTCTCCCAGAGCAAGGAGCACTGAGCTTGTCGTTTAAA